AAACAGATTACTAGTTACTGAGTTTTGGATAGAAGGAGCTGGCACTAGTTGATTAACTCATGCTGGTAAGCCATGAGAGTTGGGTCTGCGTGTGGAGCTGATTAATTTTCTTCTTATCCATACATGAAACTTTGTTGAGACTTCCTCCAGTTCAGTGGTGGAAATACAAAATGAATAAGAAGTACACCTTTCTCTTGAGGTCCTAATAATTTAGTGGGCCACAAACCCATCTCATTAATTACATCAAACTGAAATAACAAATGAAGCAGAGAATAAAACCTAAACTACCCTGTGCTGCTAGGCAAATTTCTCAGGGAAGGTGGTATTTCAGTTGTCTGCAGAAAATGATGGCTGCTTGAATCAAGTCTGATTCATTTTAGGCAGAAAAGACAAATTATGATACATGTAGTATATTTGGCTGAAAACAAAAACTAGCCCACACTTGACATCCAAAATGCAATACAAAATAGAAAGAGAGGACAAGGTTGGGGCGAAGGCTTCAAAACTATTACTAATGCCAGGTTTACACATTTGATCTTTGCGGTAGGAACTACTAATAAACCAGCACTTTTTAAGGATGAGGAAACTGAGGTAAAACCCTCAGTCTACCGAGGACTGCTCATAGCTGCTCATAGGATTGCAAAATGGCTCCTTGACTGCTCCTGATGAAATCTATGCTTGGTCCCTAAGTCTAGCCAGGACCTGAGACCAACATGCCCTGGTGTCTTATTTCTGGTACTAGTACATGAAGCAAGTTGAATGGCTCTCCTGCTGCAGTTCCAGCAGGCTGGTGCCACAGAGAGTGCCACATGCCAGGGCTGGTGTGCTGCTGCCAGGCTGTACAGTACAGGCTGTGTGAATGAAGAGCCACCTTCACTACGAGGAAGACTCCAAACACAGTCAACTGCACTGACTCCTGACAAGTCACACCAGCTGTCAGAACTCAGCCCACCTGCCATCTCACCTGCCCTTGTTCTACCAGGAGGGATGGTGTGAAAACTGCGAGGGTAACTGGCAGGGGTTGCTCTGTGCAACAGGGTCAGCATTCTAATAAAGAGCACAATTAGCTAGGCATGGTGGCACAACCCTGTAATCCCCAGTATTTGGGAGGATCACAATTTAGGAAGACACTGTCAAAGTTTAAAAAACAAAAAAACCAAGTCCCACTGGGGATATAACTGAGTGGCAGAGTGGGTGCCTAACACATAGATGATGTCCTCTGTTAAATCCATAGTATCAAAACATAAAAAATAAAAAAGATATAATTACCGTATGCTTTTCTAATTGGCCACATTTTTGTCAGTATGCCAAATAAAAATAAGCTTATACTATGTCCTGATGCCGGCCTTTCACATGTATCATATGGAAGTGATAATCCCTGACATCCTATGCTAGCTCCTAATTATTATAAATTCCAACTTAAATTTTTTCTAACCCCCATGTTCTGCCAAGTGCAGCTGGGCTCTTTCATATACTGAGACCATCAGCTATCACCTGTGAGTGAAAGTTGGATCTGGTCAGACCAGTGGACATTTAACCATTGATAAAACATCTAAGAGCTTGCTCAAATCAGTCTATCCATCATAAGATTTTCCTGACAGTTATTTTTCAAAAACAGAGATAGAGAGAGGTATCAAATGAGATAGAGCATGGATACTACATCGTGCACTGCAAAATTCTAATTTTTATATCATTAATATTAAATGTCTTTCCTGCCTAATAAATGTTTATCTTGGAGATGTTTTTTAATGAATTAATTCCTTAAATGTATGAAATGTGTTTTCACATACAAACATAGTTCCATTAAAAGGAATTTTGCCTGAGTAAGGACTATGGAATTAAGACTTTGGGGGTCAGCTTCCTGCCCCATGGAATGCAGTGAGAAAGTTCTCACAATCAGAGGAGGCCTCTTGTAGCACATTCCATGTGAAAAGCGTTTGCAGAGGTTCTATGCAGAAAACGCCATGTCTCAAGATATTATCTGCATCTCTGACAGCCAAAGGCCACTGTACCCTGCCTTCAGCCGGCCCATCAAATTCCACAAAACTTTAGCATAAGCACGTATGTGTGTGTGTGTGTATGTGTGTGCACGTACACATGCACACGTGCGTATGCAACGAGGCAGAATTCAACCTCACATTGTAGAAGAAATTCACATTTGTATGAATTTGAGCTTACAATATTTCCACTGTGAGGATACACAATGAGGGAAAAGGTTATCATACTTTGAAACTTCTTTAAGGAAGTTGTTGTCAAATCCATGAGGTTCAGGGCAATTTAGCTTCAAGTGACAAAGGAGACAATGATGTCAGATTCATTAATTCACTTGACCACTATTATCAGGCTATCTCTTATGTGTTCTGGATGCTGGGGATGTGGCTGCGAACAAAAGTACCACAATCCTACATTCTAAGGATACATTCTGTGGCACTCAGAATGTGCAACACATTCATCAGTTCAGATCTGAACATCAGACTACGAACACCAGCCAGGCCCTTTCTCTTACCACTGTGTACCAGCCTCTAGAACAGATCTGAGACCTAGGTGGTAGTCTATGTTTACGGAATCAATACACAGGAAGAGAGGTTTGCCCCTGAATTCCTTGAAAGCATCATGAAACTTTCTGGAGACAAGCAGAGCAGATACATCCATTATTCACCCAAACTGAGGAGTGGTGTGAATAAGACAAGTAAGAAACTGCCTCAGCTGCCAGGAAGTTCACATTCTGGTAAAGAGACAGCAAAAGCCAAAGCATGAATGTGCAGAAGGGCTGGTAAATTTGAGAAATGGTAAGTATTTTGATGTTGACTGGGGAAAAATTTAAAAGATAGACTAGGTTGAGCATAAAGAACCTAATGATTTCATTTTTTACTGTGGTACTAGGGCTGGAACTGAGGGCTTCAAGTACATGCTAAGTATTTGCTAAGTACACGCTCTATCAGTGGGCCATACCCCCGAGCCTAGAATCAAACTTCTATCTGATAGCAGTGGAGAGCAAGTGCTGGAACTGTGGCGCTAGAACTGAGGTAGGACTGCCAAGGTGGAAGTGACAGGAGGGAGTTAAGGCCCACGTCGGCTACTGCAGCAGTCTTGGTGAGAAATGATGAGGCTTTACTTTAGGCAGTGACAGTGGGCTAGGAGAGGCGACAATTTCATGAGCTGTGGAAGCAGAAAGAACAGGACTCCGTGACTTCGTGTGAGGGAATGTGGCCTGTGGGAAGTGATGAATGAGCACTTTAAGGGCTGAGAGGATATGAGAGAAGGAGTGGCATACCCTGGAAGCCTTCTACGTAAGCAAGCAGTATCCCCATTACTTGCAGACTGCATGACTTTGGGCAAGCGGCTTTCTCTCTGTGCCTCAGTTTCATTCCTAAAATAGGAATCATCTAGCTCACAGGGCTGCTGTGAGGCATGGTAAATGAATACGTGTGAATGTATATACAAATGAATACTCTTCAGAAGAGTCCACAGAAGAGGCGAGCACTCAGTACATGTCACTACCTTGTTATTTGCAGATTCCCAGCTAGTATGTTTGCTATGATTCAGGGCAGGGGCACATTCACTGGCTCCAGCTGCCCGCCACATTTAGGTCACACCACCAGGTAGTTGCTCCAGACCCTGGGCTCTGCTTCTGTCCCCGAGCTCACATCAGACTGCCATCAGTGCCACTATTTCCCAGTCACAAGTTTCCCCCACACTATTCCCACTGCTGATACCAACCTGCCTGCCTTCATCTCTGCGGATCAAAATCCATTTCAAATGCCAACTTTTCCAGAAAGTAGTAGACACCTCCCCCTCTGAAGCACTCTTTAATTCTAAGTGCTTTGTGTTTGCCTTAAGTCTCTTGGTTGGCTTTGTGTTTGCCTTAAATCTCTTGGTTAGGTCTGAATGGGCTTCTTGAAAATAGCAACTCCCTTGCTCATCTTCCTGCCTCCTCCAACACCCACCTTTTACTGTAGCCGACTCAACACATCATTGCTGAATGGAAACAGAGCCCAGAAGATGAAGCATGTATGAAACTGAGATATTACCACCATCCACTTCACAGGGTGATTGTGAGTGATACATAATCAGTAGTTCACAAATGATATCACCCACATCAGTATTTCTAGGAATAAGGTTCTCTTGTTCTTGGCCTGCCTTGATATAAACCTGCCTTGTTTTAGTGAAGCTAGAGGGTAAGAGCATGACTGCAGAACTCCTGGGAAATTGTACACTGGGAACTACTATTCTGGTCCTCTGAGGTATTCCTTTACAAATCCCAAGGATTTCCTCTCTGGAGGTATCACTTAAGAACTCTGGGTTCTTGGGGTGGGGCTGGGGCTGGAAGGAACTATGCTCAGCTTTTTGATCAGTCGTCCTGGGAAATGAGGTGACTGGGAGGATCCAGACCCAGCAGTCACCTCTTCTCTGCCAGCTGACACTCTGGCTGCTGAAGAGGCTAGAAATAGAGGCTGTGATGCAGGGACAGGACTGCGGGTGGTTTGGAGTGGCTGCTTTCAAAAGAGCAAGCAGGCAAAACTATGAAAGTCCTTGACTTTTATTTTTATTTTTCAAATCTGCTTTGAAGAATTTTGTGAATCCCAAAGGAGCTCTTTTATGTCATTTTTTTCTTTTTCTTTAGAATTTAATCTAAAACCCAATAGGGAGGTTTAACATATTCCAGATTTAGCACTTTAATGGACTTTTGTTCCTGCATTCTTTTTTTTTCTCCCATTTGTAATTTCTCCTCTGATTTTTAATTAGCTATCTCTGGGATTACAAAGTTTGCAAACTCAACAGCAAGATTTCTGGAAAGCCTTTCATGTGTGAGCTTGTTATGGTGGTACTGGCTCTGCTATCTGACTCAGAAGATGAGAGTAGTCTCAGAGGCCCATTTTACGCTAGCGATCGAATTTGAAAGGATGAGCGACTTAGGGGCATGGGCCTCAGGACACCAGAAACACCCTGAATTTCAGTGTTTCTTTGAAGCAGCATCTTGATGATTTTTCTCTCTTCAGGAACCTCAGACAAGTCTAATCTGGAGCTGATCACTCTGACGTGCACTTGTGTGGCTGCGACCCTCTTCTGGCTCCTGTTAACTCTCTTTATCCGAAAACTGAAAAGGGTAAGACTTTATCAGATAAAGTTGTTTGCTCCTTTTTACCTAATACTCAAAACTTCCCAATCTTCTGTTTAGAGCAAGCACTAAACAAATATAGGAACCTCTCTGTCCCTTCTCTCTCTTTCATCTATGACCCAGAGAACACTGTAAACAAGATCATTAAAACATCTCTAACTACAATTGAGGTGTTCAAAAGAAAAACCAGAACAATGAACAGATGGCTATTTCTCAGAGGCAGAGAAATTTTGGTTTTGATCTAAAAACTACATAATAGTCTTTTGGGGGATCAAACCTAAGCCTTGTGTCCAGTGACTAGGCACTCTTATCACTGAGCTATACTTCAAGCCTTGTAAGAACCTTTAAATTAAACTTAGCATGAGTTCTGAGGAGTCTTCATTGTCTTAACCTCACTCTTTGTTAAGAAATAAAAAGAGCAAAATATAGAGCCACCTACCTCGTATTTGGCTTTTGTAACATTACAGGCACACAAATAAGGACAATGCTGTTCCATTTTCAGGGTCACAGTGGTCCTAAGTGTGTAACCAGCAGTGTGAGGCCCAGGTTAGAACTCCGGACAACAGAGTTCTATAACCAGACTGCGATGTGATCTTCTTCTTGGATATTCAGTGGAAGGACTAACAGTCATTCATTCACTTATGCCTCAAAAACTCACTGTGAGCTTTTTTAGTATGGCGTACACATGCCCAAGTGTGCAGTCTGGGAGGAGACTGACTTGCATTGACCACAGTCAAATGTCACACTGCCTGCATTCTGTATCAGCTGAAAGAGTTCTCTGACCAAAAGATATGGAAGAAGGTGATCAGGCAAAGAAAAGGGAAACGTATAGAAGACAGAGGGAGTAGCATGTCTGAGGCTGGAGTAGGCAGGGAACACAGTGAGCAGGAGAGACTGACAGAAGGCCAACAGGGCTGCAGTGGGGACAACAAGGGCAATAGCTATGAGGTTAACACTACTCAGGAAAGGGGGACAGAACTGCAAAGCCTAGCCAGGCAGGGCCTTGTAGGCCACCAGAAGAAGCTGGGTCTGTATTCTAAGAGCCATGGCAAGCCTTGGGGATGAGAGGAATGTTAAGCAAATGTTGTAGATGTGTGGCTGATCTGTGTCTGGAAAGCTTATTTTAGCTGCTATGAGAGTGGAAGAGAGCAAGAATTTTTAAAAAGTGCCCTCCATGAGTTATAACAGTCAAGTCAGAAGTGATGCTAGCACTGACTAAATGATTAGAGTTGAGAGGTTTGTAAGAGATTGAAAGAACAGAACTTGAGAAGGGTCAGGAGATTTCACAGTTTCTAGCAATTAGGCCTTATTAATGTGCCAAGTCTTATGGGAAGCCTTTTATGGAGCATCTCAGTTAATTCTTCCCAAAATGCAGAGGTAGGTATATTACTATTTCCATTCTACACAGATGGAAACAGAGGCTCAGAGAATAAACTAACTGGTTCAAGTCATTATAATCAGGGCTTAGTTTTGAACGTGGGCTGTCTGAACTCACACACGTGATATTCAAAACCGGTAAATCATACATGACAACACTGTTATGAGAGGCAAGGTTAGCAGCCGGCCCTCATGCTGTGTATGTGACACCCAGCTTGTGCCTATGGATTGAATGATTTTGAGACATGACAGTTAAGGCCGCTGCTGTAGAAGGAAACAGGGCCAACAGTACTTTTAAAGGAAAAAGGTGACATCTAGAGATATAAATCTAACAAAAGCAGAACTTGCCATATCTATAAGAGAGTAATGAAGCTATAGAAGCTCCAAGGAGAAGAGAGGAGAAAAGACTCCAGACAAAGTAATTCTTGAGACAGACTTTAAAGGCTGTAAGAAAAGCAGCAGAAAAAAGAGTTGACTCTGCTTCTTCTTACACCCCAGACTAGGGAAACAGTCTAGTTATGTAGCATGTAGGTGCACAGTAGAAATTGGACTGCAAAGGCAAAGTGAGACCAAACTGACAAAAGTCCCTTCCTTTCTAAAACTCCATGAAGTGCTGATAATAGAAATAAGATGATTATCTTAATAACAGAAAGCCTTGCCAGGCATGGTGGTACATGAATGTAATCCCAGCACTTGGGAAGCTGAGGAAGGAGGATCATAAATTCAAGGCCAGTTCTTTAATAAATGGTTCTGGGAAAACTGGCTTTCCACATGCCAAAGATTTAAACAAGACACATATCTTTCACCCTGTACCAACCTAAAATCATAATGGATCAAAGATCTACATATTAAAATGGAAACACTAAAGCTGCTGGAAGAGAGAATAAGAACACACAAGGACATAGGAGTACACAAAGACTTCATGAACAAAACCTGGCTACATGGGAAATACTACAAAAAATCAACAACTGGTATCTCAACTTAATAAAAAAAAGCTTTTGCACAGCAAGAGAAACTACCAACAAAGTGAAAAGACAACTCACAGCATGGGAAAAATATTTTCCAGCTATTCATCAGATAAAGAACTACTATCTAGAATATATAAAGAACATAAAAAATATCAGACTCCCCAAATTTAAAGACCCAATCCAAAAATAGGCTTCTGACATGAAAAGACTTTTCTCAGATAAAGAAATTGAAATGGCAAATAAATATATGAAAAAATGTTCAACATCACTGGTCTTTCGTGAATTGCAAACTAAAACAATGCTGAGATTCTATCTCACCCCAGAAAGAATGGCTGCTATCAAGGAATCAACAAATGCTGGCTGGGATATGGAGAAAAGAAATGCTTCTCCACTGCTGGTGAGAGTGTAGACTGGTGCAACCACTGTGGATGTCAGTGTGGAGATTCCTCAGAAAACTAAAACTAGAGGTTCCATTTGATGCAGTTATTCCACTTCTTGGTATCTTCCGGAAAGAATGAAAAACATCCTGACAGTTCCAAGAGTGCTCCATGAGGGCAGCAGAGGGGCCAGGCTAAGTAACCTCAGAGTTCCTTGGCCAGAGTGCCCAGGAGAGTTTAGAAAGCTTCCAGTTGTCCAGGTCCTCAGGTGCGATTTCCGCTCAGCTTGGAGGGGGTGTCATGGCACCTTTCCCAGCCAGATAAACAGAGAAGTGTTCTCTGTCCTGTCCCAACCAAAGTAAGAAAGGGTGAGGAGCTTTTGAACAAGGAAACAGGCTCATCTTTACAGTTTTTGTATCCAGGAGGAGAGCAGCTTAGGCTAGATTTCCTACACTGGAATCCGTGGTGCTTAGTTCTGTGGCCAGGAGGGGATTCTCCCCATTTGGAGATTGCCATCAGAGAACCTACTGAGTTCCAGGTTGTAAAGCCAAACAGGAAAAGGTGTACCTTTCTAGAGCCACCATCTTGCAATCCTGAAGCTTAAGAAAAGATGTGAAGTGGACTGCTGTCTCCTGGCCTATATGAAAGTAATATTGAGTTGAATTTAGAAGAGGAGGCCACACTACAGAACTTTGATCATAACTTACAGGAAAATAAAGAGGCTGGGACCATTAAAGAAACAGAAACCTCAGATTTGTCAGCAGATGGACCAAAAAACCAAAACAAATGCATATGAAGAGTGCCATTCTGGAATTCCCTTAAATATGTGGAACAGATTTCAAGAATTGCATAAAAACATTCTGAACAGAAAACTTCAGCCTCAAGATACAGAATGAGAAAGAGAAAACTCTCCAGAAAAGGAAAATTGAAGAATGAAAAAGAATCTCACAGTGAGCAGTCCTTAAATGAAACCCAGTGGAAGGAGCTTACTCAGTACTTCAGTGCCTACGATAGATTTGAACCCCCGGTTAAAAAGAAAATAGTTGAAAAGTCTGGCCTTGAAAAGAGGATAGACCAGGCTATGGAGGAGTGGGGTGTTGAGAAGGCTGAGGAACTCAGCAACCATCTGGCTTGATGAGAGCTTGATGTAAAATGGCCAAAGCAATTGCCTCTCACAAATTTGTAAAATCCAAAAAGGAGGTTGAAAACTCACAGGCTGCTTAAAGAAAGAAGAAACTTGCATGGAGGTATGAAACAAAGAAGACATGGAAACCAAAAGCAACATGGGATATATGTAGTGGCAGAATTCTTGAAGACACATGTAGACTTGTATGCTTAATCTACAGAAAAGAGTTTTCTGCTTATGTTAAATATGTTAGGAAGTTGATAAAAGTAGGGGAAAAGTAAGCATAAATCTTGAGAATTAATTATCAGCTCATTTTTTTTGTTTTTGTTTTTTGTACTGGGGATCGAACTTGGGACCTTGCTCTTGCGAGGCAGGCAGCACCACCACTGAGCTAAATTCCCGACCCTTTTATCAGCTCTTTTAAATTTTTTTCTTTCACTCATTGAGTTTGTTGGTACATTTTAGATATACAGCACAGTTACATTCATTATTGGGATCTTGTACCTTTACATGACAGGTCTTGGTTCTCATTTTTTCCCCTTGTCCCTGCCCTCCCTTCACCCCCTCCTTTAAATTTTTTTCTAAGGAGTTCATTCTATGAAGTGATGGAATGAAGTATTTTGTTATTTATGTAAGAAATCTAAGTATATATACAGGAAAAAAGAGGATTTTATTAATTTGTATAGACTTACAGTATAAAATCAATTTTACTTTATATCTGTTTGGTATAGCATAGCCTATGAGATCCTTGTACTTTCTATTCTGTTCATGGCATAACTGCACTTTTTCTGGACTTACATTTTAAGATTGGCTTTTGTTTAAAATGGATTAGTCATAAGTACAAAAAAAGTCTCAGTTGATGCTATCTTTCCAAATGACTGTAATTACCTTAATGCTATAAAACAATTATTGATTCTTTATTGGAAAAAAAGGCATCCTACCACAGCAGTATATGCACACCCATGTTTATAATGGCACCATTTATAATAGCTAAATCTTGGAAACAGCCTGAGTGCCTATCAACTGATGAATGGATAAGGAAGATGTGGGGTTTTTGTGTTTTTTTAATATAATGGAGTACTACTCTTCCATAAAGATGAGCTTCAGACATTTATAGCTAAATGGATGGACCTTGAGACCATACTCTTACGTGAACTAAATTGGACACCCATGTTTAAATATCAAATTGTTTCTCTGGTGTGAGAAACTGAAAGTGGCAATAAGGACTGAAATGTATAATAGATATTGGGAAATGGGAAGAAAACGTTCCAGTGGGAAGGGGAGCAAGGGAGGGAGGAGAAAAGAAGGAAGGGACGAGGAAAAAAAGGGAAAATAGAAGGAAAAAATAGAAACAAATCATTTGTACATAGGGAGGGGAGGGGAGAATGGGACAAAATAAAATTTAAATTTAAAAAAATTTTAAATAAATAAATTCAAAGCCAGCCTGGGCAAGACAGTGAGACCCTGTCTCAAACAATTTTTAAAGTAAACAAAAAACACAATAAAATTGGATCATGGGATAAGTATACATATCAATTCCCCATGAGGAATATAAATATATATGTGTGTGTGTGTGTGTGTGTGTGTGTGTGTGTGTATGGGA